CTGCTTTAGTGTTGGTTAGCTTCTGGAACACTAACAGTGGTAAGCATTGGTTGCCAACAAGATTGATCAGAGGATGATACGAAGGATTGAGAATCCTTCTAACCTTGTATGTTGTAAGATGTTAGTTGAATCTAATTGGGGGAGAATTGTTCAGGTATCCAGGAATAGAAGTAAATGCAAAACTAGAATGAGTTCGCATTCACGCTGGGGAGGAGGATGACCCAAGTGGCTAATTAGGTCAAGGAGTGTGTGACTTGGGAGTTTGGGAAACTTCCTAACCTTGAGTCCATGTCTTCTTGGTGGTTGATAGCTGGTGTTAGGGAATCAGGTAGGAATTCCTGTCAGGACGTGAGTTCCGACAGTATGCTAGACCTCATAAGTGCTCGAATTTGGACTTGTTCAGATTGGTAATTAGCGGTAAGACCATGGTCAGCGGTTAAGTTAGTGTGGGAAGTGTTGTAAGCATGTGTGATAGCCGTCACATTCACCAGTGGCCAGATAGCAGGTAAGAGTAATGTACGAGTGTAGGGCATCCGTAGCATCCTCTAGGAGGAAAAATAGCATGGAAAGTGTTGTTAGACTAGGGAATGAGCCGTAGCATTCACAAATTCAATCAAATAAGTTAGGCCCAAGGTGGGTATGTTTGTAAGATCGTGGTAAGACTATAGTAGAATCGGATTCAGGAAAAGATAGGTCGTTGGGATCCGAGGTGGAGCTAGGAGCCCAAGATAAGTGGGACCTGTAAGCAAGGCCGCTCGGTGATATGGTTGGGTGGGACCCCGTGGGTGAGGCCCATGTGCTTATAGCAATGCAGGTGGGATCGGGTAGGGACCATTGGACCAAGGAAGGGGGTCGGGGATCCTAGGATTTTTAGAGCCGAGTGTGGCAATTTGGATAGGGTAGTATTCGATAGTCGAAGTTTTCTTCGGAAGTTGCTGGGAGCGACTGAGACGGTACTCTTTGAATCAGCAACCGGATGGGAATTCAGTATTCTAGATAGTTGGTAGATAAGTTGGGACCTGGGAGGTCTCGGTTCATTTGGAAAGTGGATAAGAGGCAACACGATGTTTGGGCAGAAGTAGTCATGTACGGATTCTTGTGAGAAAGGTAGCTTGCGGATCAAAAGTGCTGAGACACTTACAGTTGGATTAAATAATCTCAAAGTAATTGATTTGACCCTGTTGCATAGCTCTCGTCTAAGTCTAACCGTTTCATGGATGAATCTTCTAGTCAAAGGATTATCTAAGCCTTCTCTCAAGAATAAGTATTCTACAACTGGTTATAGATAGGGATTTTGTTTCTGATGGTAGCATCAAGATAATTACAGTGGGAAGTTTTATTGTTGAACAGTTATTCGATGAGGTTTTGGCATGGTAGTTTTTGGAGCATAGGCGGTCCATCAAGGAGACATGTTATTATAGATTTCAGATCTCGGAAAGAAAGATGTAGTTCTTTGTATGACAATAGGGATAATCCCTCATCAGTTTTGGAAGGTCTTGATAGTTGGGTTCAGTTGCCTTGGGAATACCATCGATTGGTCGGGATGATGGTTGTACTCCCAGGATGGCGGGTGTCAGTGCTCGTGGGAAACATCAGATGTTTCAAGGCATGTATGAGGAAAGTTGCGGGCGCGACACTTGAGATGTTTGTAGGGTAGGTGGCAATAGCAGACTTAGAGGAAAAAGTCCAGTTTAAGTGGGGGAGATTTGTAACACATGAAAACCAGAAGGCTAATTAAGGAAAGAAAACTCCAATCAAGAAGGCAACTCGTCGAGTTCAAGGATGAGAACTCGATGAGTAGGAATGTTGTCATGCGTGTTTTTGGAAGACCAACTCGATGAGTTAGAAGGGGTTTGGGAAACCCTAGATCTAGGATTTTGCACCCAATTTAAACACTTTATGAATTAGGTTTTGTCCCCATTTCCAGCCTCCATTATCCAAACCCTAGATCTCAAAACCCTAATGCTTGTGAGTCATTTTAAAATAAATCTTGTGTGTTGAAGCTTGTGGAAGAAGGAGAGGCTTGAGGATTCAAGAAGGAGATTATAGATCCAACAACTTTGCTCCATCCTATTCATTTTTTGGTAAGCAAGTCTCAAACTTGCTTAATAACCTCTTAGATCTCTTCTTTTTCACTTTTATTGGGTTATTGGTCCAAGTAGCATGGTCCTTGGGAAATGGACGTCTCAAGTGAGTATACTTCAAGATCTAGGACTTTGAAGGGCTTTCTTGGCATAAAGGTGGAAACTTTATGGCCATTGAAACCCCATGCAACCTTTAGGATGTTAGATTGGCCTTTTAAGCTCTAAAAGGCCATGCATAGAGAGAAAGTCAGAGACTTTATGTGTTCATGTAGTGTTTAGGTATAGATCTCAGTTTGTATGCCTTAGATTGAAGTATTAATAGTTTTTGGATCAAGATATTGTTGGATTAGGTGTCTGAGTTCATAACTGTTTCTGGAATGTACTTGACCCAGTTAGCATGGTCCATTTGGGTTGCATGGCATTAAAATACTTGGATAGACTAAATGAGAGAAATAACACTTAAGGTTTATAATATATTATAAGTTCTAATATATTAATAATATTATTTAATTATTATTGATCAAGAATTAATTTAGAATTAATTACGTGATCAAAAAGAGACTAATTAAACATATAGGGTTGATTGTGTAAATCATCTATTCTTGTATAGTTGGGATAATGATCCATGGTTTGTATGGATTGGGTTAAAACCCATAAGGTGCTCCATGGATTGTCCATGGAGGTTACAAACCCATGGATCATGGAATATGGAAAGCCATGACAATTAGGGTTTACATGGTATGACCCTACTTGTGCCACAACTATATAAAGACCCCTATGCAAGGAAAATCGATACTACTTGTAGAAGATAGAGGGCTAGCCAATTTTAAAGTGTAAATGTACCTCTCTCAAGGTTATTAAGTGTTGTAGTGTTGTGTGAGACATTTTAGGCATCACACTTGAGGTGCTAGGTTCACAAGGTTCTCAAGGAATCACGACTACAAAAAGGTATGTTCTTCTTGTAGAATTTATGTTTAAAAGTTCCCCATGCTATGCTAGATAGGTTTAGAACCTTGGAAAATCATTTCTGCATGTATCTTAGTAAAACATAGATCCAAGGTTTCTAGGGTTGCATGTACACCTTAGGAGTGTTAGAATGCTCAAAACTCTTCAGATATAGGTCTTAAAGAGTTAGGATTTGAGTTAAATCCATTGAAGAGAGGTATTAACATGTAAAGTTTGAAACTTTACCCTTAAAAAGACATTTTCAGTATATATGTGAAGTATGAAGCTCAGATCTAAAGAATAGGGGCTTAATCCATTGAGATGAAGCACCAGACTGATGAACTTGGCGGCGAGTCCATAGAGGGACTCGACGAGTTAGAATGATTTCTCTCAATTCTGGAAAAGGCAGAACTCAACGAGTCTGGGGGAGACCTCGACGAGTAGACTCATTTTATCATGAACATAAGTAGCATGAAAACTCAATGAGTCAAGGGGGATGACTCGTCGAGTTGTGTCAATGCACAATGTTGACTTTGACCAGAATGTTGACTTTGATCGAGCTGTTGACTTTGACTTTGACTTTGACAGAGGTTGACCCGTGAATGGATTTTGGGTAGGGAATGAGATCTAAGGGATTATTGGATTTTGACTAAGTATCATGCTGGTCATGACAGCTCACAGAGTCGTCAGAGCAGATGTTGGAGGTTCCTCATTGTGAGATTCTGCATTCAGCTTTGAGAGGTGAGTTTTCTCCTGTAGGAATGGGTCGAAAGCACCAATGTCGGCCCGTGTATTTATTTTAGTTTGTTCCGAACTTCAGTCCATTGTCAGGGAAAGACTGAGGAATGTCTGTATGCTTGATGTCTTTGTGATTCTTGTATGTGTTTGTTTTATATATTTTTGGACTTCGGACTGATGTCGGGGAAAGCCCGAGGAATGTTTGTATTCTTCCAAACTTTAGTCCGATTTCGGGCAAGGCCTGACGAATGTTTATATGTATGTTTTTCGAACTACGGTTCGCTGTTGGATGGTACTGGATGAAGGAATGCATGTTTAGTTATACTTGTGGTCTTTGTGATCCTTGTATATGCCTGGTAGGGGAGGTGAGTGTGGGCAGGGTCCTGTATCTCATCACTAGCTGAGAGTGGATGGGGTTCCATATCTCATCATTAGCAGAGTAGGGGCGGGGCCCATGTAGGCGAGGCCTTAGGACTGGAAAATATTGTATTATGTATAATTCCTTATGTTCTATCATGATTATATGTTATTATATGTATGTGTAGCGGGCGGGGCCTAGAAAGAAACAAATATGTATACCGAGCAGGGCCTGATGTTGGACATTGTCTGATGTCGGGTGGGGCTCGAGGAAGGGGAGGGGGCCAATATATGTGATTATATGTATGGTATGTGCTAGTTTGGGGAGACTCATTAAGCTTCGTGCTAACAGTTTTCAATTTTGGTTTCAGGTACTTCCGGTAGCAAACAGAAGAGCCTAGGATGATTGTAGTGCACACACCATGATTTTAGCTTGGGATGTTTTTACTCTTATATGTATTACAGATATTTATGATTTTTGAGATTCAATGACTTATGATTTTATGTGATGATTTGATAACTATGGTTTTATTAATAAGAAAAAACGATATTTTTGGATCGTATTTTTGGGATGTTTCATGTAGCACTTGTTTGTAAGGATGGAATTAATGAAATCAGAATTGTTGTAGGTATGGGTGAGGTTGAGGGTTTGGAAGATGGAGGGATAAATTGTGGTGGTGGAGGTCGTGTGGTGAGGTTCAAAAAAGGTTGTTGCATGATATTAGCAAAAATATCGGATATTGGAACTCAGGAGAAAGGAGGAGATGATACCTTCAGAATTGGTTCAAGTTGTTCTGGCTCTGAAGTATGAGAAGTATCATCCTCTTCATGTCAGAATATGGAATCTTCCTAAAAATTAGTTAGTGTTTTCTCTTCTTACTCCTCTCTAATTTCCGAAGACAAAGATCTCGGTTTCTCAACTTGTTTCCTTGGCTTTTTCAGAGTTTTGACAATTTTGGAAGTAGTCTCCTTTGCCTTCCTTTTCCCACCCCTGTTTGGTTTATTTCCCTCATTGTTGATCTTCTGTAATTCCGCTGGTATGGGATGAACTCCAGAACAGGGAAAATTATGATATTCCCTAATAATGGAGTTTTCTAGCGGTATCTTTTCAAACATAACATCAGGAATTGAACCAACAAACCTGAAGTTCCTTGGGTCCGACTTAATGAAAGTAGTTGTTTGAAAGGATGGAATGTCAGCCATTAGTGAGTATTGCATTAGAGGAAATTTGAAGTGGTTTAGGGCTTGATTCGCCATAATTGACCCGAACCTAGCACAAGAAATCTCGATGTGCCTTGATGAAGAAATCGGGCTCTGAACAAGTTGAGCCCAAAGAACAGACCCATAGTCAAGATTAAATCCATTAAAATTCCATAGATTAAGGTATACAGTACCTTGTTGGAACTGTTAGATCCAACAAACCTTCCAGATAAGCTCTTGAATAGGATGGTGAACAGTCAGTTCCACATCGGCGGCAAAAAGGACTTCATGTACTTGGAGAGCAAGGAGATGTCATTGGTGTATCCCATATGGTAAAACATCTCTATCATGTAGGTTGTTGGACTTGATTAAAGGTCGAAACAGGCCTCTAGAGTTGCAAGCCCTAGAAGTTTGTAGAAGTGGGGCTTTAAAATCAAAGTTTTGTGGTTATCAACCTCAATATTGATAACATTTTCGGTTTTGTTACGCATTGCATTCAAGACAGCTTTTGAGAGATGAACCAGAGGAGGAATGGGTCTACAACCACAATGTTGGCCCGTTTAGATAGCAGTAGTTTAGTGTGCTTGATGTCTTTGTGATTCAGGCATGTCTATGTGTTATGAGTTCCAGACTGTGGTTCAATGCAGTATGAAGTATATGTGTTTATGTTATATGTTATGATTATGTTATGCTATGTTCAGTCAGTTACGGACTTCGGTCTGATGCAGTGGGCAAAGCCCTAGTTAGTTCCAGACTTTTGTTCGATGCAGTAGGCGAGGCCCTACTTAGTTCCGGACTTCGGTCTAATGCAGTGGGCGAGGCACTAGTTAGTTCCAAACATCGGTCTGATGTAGTGGGCAAGGCCCTAGTTAGCTCTAGACTTCTTTCCGATGCAGTGGGCAAGCCCCTAGTCAGTTCCGGACTCGGTTCGATGCAGTAGCAACGCCCAGTATGTGCTTTATTTGATATTGTATGGTATGTGGTAGTTTGGGTGAGCTCACTAAGCTTCGTGCTTACAGTTTTCAATTTTGGTTTCAGGTACTTCAGCTAGGAAGGGGAAGGGTTCGGGTTGATGGCATGGCACACACCATAGTTTTAGCCTGGGAGTTTAACTCTGATATTTTGACACGATCATGACATCAGATTTGATTTGATACATTTATTATGACATTTTGAGATACTCGACTTATGATTTTGTTATATGATATTTGGATATTATAGTTTTAGTAATGTTTTCAAATGAAATTTATGGCTTGTATTTTTGGGATAATTCAAGTTGGTATCAGAGCCTTAGTTTGAGGGATTCGGGCACACTCCCTAGTGTATCTAAACTCAAACTAAGGAAATGGTATAAGGTTTTCAAAAGAAAAACAATTTCGAAAGAAACTTTTGAAAAATAAACTTAAAATGAAAAGAGTTTTTGAAAAAAGAAAAGAAAATGTGTGGTGCATGCAATTAGCCTAGCTCAAGTAAGTATTCCCAAATTACCAATACATGTTTATGTTATGATTATCAGTTTCAGTAGAACAGCATGACAAAATATGACTAAGGATCTAGGAACGATGCCTTATGTGTCTGCTATATGTGTTTCAGCTTTATGAGAATTGCATGCTAGTATCAAGTAGATAGTAGTAGGATACCCTGTTTAGGTTATGCCTGATAGTATCATCTTAGGATCGTATGCTAGTACATATTCTTGTTTGAATAGAATTGCTTGAGTTAGATTTCCCTTTTTGTCTGAATGCTACTTGCTTTGTGATTTGTGGGACTCTGAGTGATGGGAGTTAGCCATTAGGTGAATACGTCACGCCACATGTGATCAGGGTTAATAATCTCAGAGTGCTAGATTTGGCCCTATTGCAACTCTCGTTTGAGTATAACCTTTGTAGGGATGTGTCCTTTACTCGAAGGATTATCCGAGCCTCGTCACATGTGATGGTATTCAGGTAGTGGCTAATTGGCATTACAAAGATGCCTTTAGTAGTTGAGGATTGGGTGCGGGTTGGAGGTTCCCTAGGGCAAGCCTAGGATGAGAGTAGCAGAGATCAGTAGTAGTAGAAGGGACTTGGTGGAGTCAAAGTTAATTCTTAAGGAAAGTATGCATAGATGTGGAAGGTAGTATGTGCCCATACTACTAAAAGCAGAGGATTTGTATTCAAATCAAGGAGGGCTGAGATAAGGCCAGGGAACTCGTATTAGATATGATCCATCGAGTTATAATTGTATTCTGATGTTGTGTTTATGTGTTTTCTGAATGGTGGTTTTGCACCCTAGACCAGCAGTCAGCAGTTCCGGTGCCGGAGAGGGATCAAGTTCAGGCTCGGGATCGAGCATTTGGATGAGCAGACTAGGGAGTTCATTTCCTTAGAGATCACACACAGCATACTTGAGCAGACTCCTGTGATCTTCGGTTCGATCAAGAAGGGTATTTTTGAGCTTTTGGATGAGAGGATGAGTACGTTCTATGCTGAGATGGCGGCCATGATGGGGTCACGCACGCTCACATTCAGGGAGTTCAGGGCTTGTGGAGTTCCAGATTACCACGTGGCTCGAGACCTCATTGTGAGTACCAGATGGTTGGCTGATGTGGCCAACGCTTTCCGCAGTAGCAGATGTCCCGAGGGGGACAACGTCCGAATTGCATCTTGTCTTTTAAAGGGAAGGGCATGTGATTGGTGGGAGGAGGTCGGACATGTCATCGGGGATGACGCAGCTCTTAATGCTATAACCTGGATGGATTTCACGACCAGGTTCAGAGCTGAGTTCTCACCTGTTATTGAGGTGCAATAGCTTGCTAGGGAGTTCCAGGATCTCCAACAGATGACAAAGATAGTGGCGGAGATTATCGCCAAGTTCAGGGAGAGGGCTCTTCTCGTTCCTCAGTACGCGGCTGATGAGGAAATGAAGAAGGCCCGATACCATGAGATGTTGAGGAGTGATATCAGACAGTTTGTGAGATCTTCCAACTATAAAACGCTGGATGACATGATTGCGAGGGCTTGTGAGAGGGAGATTGATTTAGAGATGGAGAGGAAGAAGAAGCCAAAGGTGGTATCTGGCACGGGGAGATTGGGAAAAAAGCCCAAGGTATCCGATCACAGACCTAGGGGACAGTAGAGCCTAGGTCGGTGTGGAAATTGTGGGAGGTTGCACGATGGAGTGTGCAAGGTAGGGAGTTTCGAATGCTACAAGTGCGGTCGGACTAGGTACATGAGCAAGGATTGTACCGCTACTACAACTACAACTCCCACCTCAACATCTGATATGATTTGCTTTCAGTGCAATGAGAGGGGCCACAAGAGGTCCTAGTGTGCGAGCTTAGCAGCAACAGGGAAGGTGGCGGCACCTGCCCCTGCTACTTTAAGGATTACAGACAGCCGTCCGGGTCGGGATGAAGCACCAGTAGCGAAGAGTAGAGCTTTTCAGATGACAGCCGATGAGGTGCGAGCGACTCCTGATGTGGTGATGGGTATGTATTTTCCTCTTATCTCTATTTTTAGTATTGATTGTTTCTCATGGATATGTGTTGTGTATAGTGTATAAGGTAGTTCTTAGTGAACGGCAATTCAGCTACAATATGTATGATTTGGGGGCTACCCGATCATTTTTCTAGCTTGTGCTTAGCAACCGATTTAGCAGACTTTCAGGGGAGCTTGATTGCCCACTTGAGGTTAAGATAGCAGATGACATGACCGTCAGGGCCGCGAGGGTATATAAAGGGAGTTCGTTGCGGTTATTTGATGAGCAGTTCTCAGTGGATTTGGTTCCTATTCCCTTGCGAGGGAATAACGTTATAGTAGGTATGGATTGGCTGAGCCCCAATGGGGCAGTAATGAATTGTGAGTTTCCGTTAGTGAGGGTTCGCACTCCTACTGGGAGAGAGTTAGTGATTCAAGGTGAGAGGCCACAGCGCGGACTGATTCTTTGCTCCGCAGCGAGAGCGAGGCGCTACTTTCAGCAGCGTTGTGCGGGGTATGTTGCCTATGTTATGGATGCCAAGGAGAAGGGTAAGGCGATAGTTGACGATGTACCGGTGGTACGAGAGTATCCAGATGTATTTTCAAAGGATTTGCCTGGAATACCTCCTGAAAGACAGGTTGAGTTCAGGATTGACCTGGCTCCTGGTGCGACTCTGATAGCCATGGCACCATATCGGTTGGCTCTTCCAGAGATGCAAGAGTTGTCTACACAGATGCAGGAGCTGCTAGAAAAGGATTTCATCAGGCCGAGCAATTCACCATGGGGATCCCCGATCCTGTTTGTGAAGAAGAAGGACGGGTCGCATCACATGTGTATAGACTACCGGGAGTTGAACAAGGTAACGATGAAGAACCGTTACCCACTTCAGAGGATAGATGACTTGTTCAATCAGCTTTAGGGAGCATCTTGGTTTTCCAAGATTGATCTATGGTTTGGATATCACCAGATGCAGTTCAGGGATGAGGATGTGCAGAAGACTGCTTTTAGGACCCACTATGGTCATTATGAGTTCGTGGTGATGCCGTTTGGGTTCACCAACGCTCAAGCCACGTTCATAGATCTCATGAACCGCGTGTGCAGGCCGATGTTGGATCGGTCCCTGATAGTATTCATCAACGATATCTTGGTTTATTCCAAGACTCAGGAGCAACATGAGAAACACCTAAGAGAGGTGCTAAAGACACTATGGAGGGAGAAACTTTTGGTGAAGTTCTCCAAGTGTGAGTTATGGTTGTGTGAGGTGTAATTCCTTGGACACCTCGTCAACCAGAAGTGTATACTTGTAGATTCGGCTAAGATAGAGGTCGTGATGCAATGGAAGGTCCTTAGGTCTCCATCTGAGTTTCAGAGCTTCCTAGGTCTGGTAGGGTATTACAGGAGATTTTATTCAGGATTTTTCCAAGATAGCAATACTGCTCACTCGACTGACTAAGAAGTCAGTGGCGTTTTGCTGGGGTTCTGAGCAGCAATTAGCATTTGAGATGCTCGGATAGCGACTATGTGAGGCACCGATTCTTACCATGCCAGAGGGAGTGCAT